GGGTACCCACTCTCCAAAGGTGCCAATCTTTAATGGGGAGTGGGGAACCAATCTTTAAAGCGGAACTTCGCCTTTTGGGTGGAAACCAAACCCCCGGTTCGCATACATGCGGTCGCGCTGCGGTCCACGTTTTGCACGGCACGAGAGCCCATTCGTTTGAGTGGACTCCCGTGCCCTGTGACATGCAGGGAAGGAAATAGTCCCTGCACGTCTTCTGAAAAACGCAACCGAGGTTCCCAGTACGGTTGCGTTTTCCAGTGCAGCGGCGTGCCATTAGAACTAAGGGTACCCGCCCGCGGGTCCACATTCCTCGGTGCGGGTGATCTGAAGCCGCACCACCCACACATATGTGAACCTAGCCTTAACCCATCCACACTTTATGCATTCAAAGGCATCTTAATGCAGGCTATACATGGCTCGAATTCTGAACGATTTGTCAAAAATCGAAAATTAAGATCGTTTTGTGATTAGATGGTGCCACCATTGATTTCGAAATTCGACCAACCAAGCCTTCAGTTTTACTCGCACCGGGATTCTTCTTTTCATTAGAAATCATTTTTTTTAACTATAATTTCTCGCACATTTCTCCCATCATTAGAAATTACAAATTTAAAGCTGAGTTCCACGCAAAAGTGGAAGCTCCTCTTGTCTGCACATTTGACAAAAGTTGCCCTTCCCCTTTCCCCCCCCCGCATTCCCTGGGATGTTTTTAAAGAGGACTGCGGCCCATTCACAAAGTGCAGTGCAATTCGCACATACGCAATAGGAAACCGGCTGTGTAGCCGCAAGGCTTCACTGTCTGTTTCCCTTCGTCAAGACGATTGAAGAATCGGCTGGGAATGCGGACACCGCTGGATCCAGGGACAGGTAAGTGCCTTAACCCCTTGGCGCCGGGGCCTCACGGTCCTTTAAGGGTTTCAGAAGCCGGGAGGCGGGGTGGAAGTTTTAAGGTCATGTGATCGCCGTGATTCGCCGTCACGGCGGTCACATGATCGGGAAAGGTCCCGATTGAAAGAGGAGATCGGGACCTTTCCGTGAGTACCGGACATGTGTGCTGGGAGCGCACTTTCAGCACATATATTTTTCTTAATTGCACACAAATGTGCAAGCGCTCGGCATCAAGGCCCAGACGCCGGGAGGCTGCGCATTTGCGTGTAGCCGGCGTGAAGGGGTTAATATTAAAAGTCAGCAGCTACAGGATTTGTAGCTGCTGACTTTTTTTGTTTTGTTTTTTGAACATTCTTTATATAAAACTTTCACAGGACATACAGACAATAATAAGGCAAGTAGGTGGATGCCACTACAAAAAACCACGAACCAGGTTCAGTCCAGTTACATATGAAATCAATTGCCAACCACAAGAACAGCATTGTGTAATACACTGGATTGGGAGTCAATACAATCAGACCAGCCTGTTATACATAAGCAGGAACAGCATCCAAAACAGAAGAAAAAAAAAAATGAAAGAAAGGAAGAAAAGAGAAAGAAAAGGGGGGGGGGGGGGAGAATCAAGATGATAAAATAGGAAGAAAGAAAAGACGCAGCAAAAGGTAAAGCGAGAAGCTGCTGACTTTTAATTTTTGGGAGGGGGGGCTTCTCTTTAACTAGTTGCCGACCGCAGATAGCCGAATGACTGCTGCACTGCGGTCGGTCGGTTCTGGGAGGGCCTATGTCATCCCAGTACGCGCTCTCCTGCGTGCACCCGGCGATTGCTGTGTCCCATGGACACAGCTGATCACGTGATGTGGTAAAAGGCCAATCACAGCGGCCTTTTACCTGGTGATCACAGGGAAATGCAATTGCCGGATCTCGGCTGCACTTTCTTCACGCTGTCAGAGCATGAGGAAAGTATTTCCGAGAACCGGCAGTTGTCAGAGCGGGGATCGGCACCGATTATCAGTGCCCTGATGATCGGTGCCCAGCAGTGCCACCCACCTGTGCCCAGCAGTGATGCCAGTCAGTGCCACCTTTTAGTGCCGACTATCAGTACCCATCAGTGCAACCTCACCAACACACATAGTGAAGGAGAAAAATTACCTGTTTGCAAAATTTTATAATAGAAAAAAAGAAAAACTTTTTTTTTTTTTTTTTTTTTTCAGATTATTGGCTCTTTTTTTTTTGTTTATAGCGCAAAAAGTAAAAACACCCAGCGGCAAGTAAATATCACCAAAAGAAAGCTCTATTTGTGAGAAAAAAATGATAAAAAGTTCATATGGGTATATTGTTGCATGACCGCGCAATTGTCATTCAAAGTGCAACAGCGCTGAAAGCTGAAAATTGGCCTGGTAAGGAGGGAGGTATAAGTGCCCGGTAGGCGAGGGGTTAATGGCTGCATGAATATCAGGCCTTTGCTGCGGCCCTACTAATGTTCGAAATTTGAATGATAATTCAAAATTAGAAAACTACACAATTTCCCCAGAATTTGTAGAAGTGTTCTTGCCTCCACCAGTAGTCTACAACTCACACTCTAGCTTTTGTCACTCTGCTGCCTGCTACCAAATAAATCCTACAGCGAAGAGCTTTATATTGTGAGAATCACAAGACCCAGACCTACATTTTGATGCATAGTATGTCTCTGAAATATTAATAATGAAGGACAGTCGCAGTTTAGAAATTGCCATTCAAATTTGAGGTGGCTAGAGTGGAGTTTCAATAAATGTCAATGGGCGGCGTGAGTTGCAAACAAATGGTCATGTTGTAAAAAACTATCAGGACTATGGCTTAGCCGTGGACATTTTTAGTGACAGCGGGGATAGCTGAACGTTTTGATATAAGATTTGTGTAGGTGGGCTTGAAAATGAGGGAGTGATGGCAGTTTAGAAATCATGTCCTGATTTTTCAGCTCACACTCTAGCTTTTGTCGGCTCCCACTCTAGTTTTGAACATTCCGCCATTCATTCCTATGGGACCAATTTCACCACAAAAACGCCAATATTTTGTGAACCATTCGACGAAACGTTCCACAAAGTGATAGCACACCAATCGGGAACAATCCGCACGTTTCCGTATATTACTGTCTATGTAGTGTAAAAACTGTGGGAGGAGTTAGGGGGGTAACTGTGGGAGGAGTTAGGGTGGTAAATTTGGCTATAATAATAGGAATATATACCGTATTTTTCGCTCCATAAGACGCACCTAGGTTTTAGAGGCAGAAAACAGGAAAAAAAAAAATTCTGAACTAATGGACTGCAGACATAGTACAGGAGATGACCAGAGACTGCGGACACAGTACAGGAGATGACCAGAGACTGCGGACACAGTACAGGAGATGACCAGAGACTGCGGACATAGTACAGGAGATGACCAGAGACTGCGGACACAGTACAGGAGATGACCAGAGACTGCGGACACAGTACAGGGATGACCAGAGACTGCGGACACAGTACAGGAGATGACCAGAGACTGCGGACACAGTACAGGAGATGACCAGAGACTGCGGACATAGTACAGGAGATGACCAGAGACTGCGGACACAGTACAGGAGATGACCAGAGACTGCGGACACAGTACAGGAGATGACCAGAGACTGCGGACACAGTACAGGGATGACCAGAGACTGCGGACACAGTACAGGGATGATCAGAGACTGCGGACACAGTACAGGGATGACCAGAGACTGCGGACACAGTACAGGGATGATCAGAGACTGCGGACACAGTACAGGGATGACCAGAGACTGCGGACAGTACAGGAGATGACCAGAGACTGCGGACACAGTACAGGAGATGGTCATAGACTACGGACACAGTACAGGGATGACCAGAGACTGCGGACACAGTACAGGGATGACCAGAGACTGCGGACACAGTACAGGGATGACCAGAGACTGCGGACACAGTACAGGGATGATCAGAGACTGCGGACACAGTACAGGGATGACCAGAGACTGCGGACAGTACAGGAGATGACCAGGGACTGCGGACATAGTACAGGAGATGACCAGAGACTGCGGACACAGTACAGGAGATGACCAGAGACTGCGGACAAAGTACAGGAGATGACCAGAGACTGCGGACACACAGTACAGGGATGACCAGAGACTGCAGACACAGTACAGGGATGACCAGAGACTGCGGACAGTACAGGGATGACCAGAGACTGCGGACAGCACAGGGATGACCAGAGACTGCGGACAGCACAGGGGATGACTGCTGACCTTTGGGACAGTACAGGGGGGGGAGCGGGTACCTGAATTTGACAGATACCCGCTCTTACTTCCGCGGAGTTGTTGTTCTTTCATCTTACCTGTTCCTCTATCCAGCCGCGCGCTGTCTTCCCGGCTTCCGTAATGGCGCTCGGCATGACAGCCGGGTGCCCAGTGCGCATGAGCGAGAAGCACTTGCGCTTTGTGATTGGTCCGGCGGCTTCTGGGATCTGTCATGTGTCCCAGGTGCCGCCTTACCATTCACAAAAAGCACCTCTTCTTGCGCATGCGCACTTGGCACCTGGCTGTCATGCCCACACTACAGAAGCCGGGAAGACAGCGCGCCGCTTGCTAGAGGAACAGGTAAGATGAAAGAACAACTCCACGGAAGTGGGAGCGGGTATCTGTCAAATTCAGGTACCCGCTCCCCCCCCCCTCCCCAAAGGTCAGCAGTCATCTCTATAAGGTCCCGCTGCAGAGTTGAGCGGCCGGCCCGGTATTCTGACACGGCGGCGGTGGAAATACCGGACCGGCCGCTCCATTTTCACTCCATAAGACGCACTGACATTTCCCCCCCTTTTTTGGGGGGAAAAAAGTGCGTCTTATGGAGCGAAAAAATACGGTATGTGAGATAACAGGAAGTGGTCTCCCTGGTGTCAGTGGAGGAGATGATCACCGACTAGCTGTCACAACAGGGGTGGGGGGGTTGGTTGCGGGGCCGGTCCGTTCGTAACATGTTAAACCCTGAGTATGGATATATAACATGTTACATGTTGGTGAACTTACCCTTTCACTTGATCCTGTTTCCTGTAGTCTGAGTGAAGATCTCTTGTGTGAACCTTCATTTCCCTTCCAGACCTCCACACTAAACAAACATCTCCAGGATCTGATGGACGGACTGACTGCCAAGGTGTTCCGAACCTATAACGCCTCCATTACCCTGCAGAACCAGCTGAAAGAACTGACCAATGGTGAGTGGCCCCTCCTCTATGGAGCTGGGCTGATTGGCCCTGCTTTCAGCTGACACTGGATTACAATCCGGGGAGGCCTATGATACACATGTGACCACAATGTTTCTATCCCCGGGAATGCAGTTTTGTACACATCTGATTGGTTTATGGTTTATTTATTTTCGCAGTTTATAATGTTTCTGTTTACATTGATTTGAATGCATTTTTGGAGAGAACATGGCATCATGGGGCTGGGCCGGGCTCATTTTATTTCACTCTGATTGGTGGATGGTTTTGTTAACCAGGTCCAATGATGGCCGGACGAGCACTTGGTCCCTCCGGGAAGGCGTCCTATCCTGTGGATCATGCTTTGCATGTGTCCGCAGGGTCGTGCTGTGGCGGGATCTGTCACGGGCCATGTACCTCCTTACACAGCCGAGGACAGATCTGTGTACCGCCCCCGTTGCCAGTACCATGTGATCTGCTGTGACCAATCACAGCAGGTCACATGACAGTTGTATACAATGGATGGCTTCCTTTCATGCCATCCATTGTATACAAGTGTGTCCTACCTGTGAATGGTCACAGCGATCACATGCACAGGCTGGGCCAGTCACAGTCCATCTGCGTCATGTGATTAGCCGTGGCCAATCACAGCTCTAATCACAACAAAAAAAAAACCTGAATGAATCGATTTCATTTAGTTAAATGCTTGCTTATAGCAAAGAAATTCTTTGCTATAAGCAATCAAATTGTGTAAAAAAAAAAAAATACTGATCACTTCCCCAAAGTAGTACAATGTTACTATGGTAACATTATACTACTTTGGTCATAGTGCAATATGGAAAAAAAAATCTTAAAGAGAAAAACTGTAATAAAATAAAAGAAAGTAAAAAAATGAAGAAAAAAAAATTTTTTTTTTCTGTGCTGTCACCAGTCAGTGTCCCTGATCACCGCCACACCAGTTATATGCTGACGCTGCACTGGTGGTGACAGTATGTAAAAGAAAAAAAAAATTGTGAAATTATTTTTTTAATTTCTTCATTTTCCGAAAAATTATGACAAACGTACAACTTCAAAAAACTCGATGAAATACGTTGGACCGTGTACTTTGCAAAAAGGGGGTCATTTGGGGGATATCTGTACTGTTCTGACATTTGGGGGGATATCTGTACTGTTCTGACATTTGGGGGGATATCTGTACTGTTCTGACATTTGTATCTGTACTGTCCTGACATTTGGGGGGATATCTGTACTGTCCTGACATTTGGGGGATATCTGTACTGTTCTGACATTTGGGGGGATATCTGTACTGTTCTGACATTTGGGGGGATATCTGTACTGTCCTGACATTTGGGGGATATCTGTACTGTCCTGACATTTGGGGGATATCTGTACTGTCCTGACATTTGGGGGGATATCTGTACTGTCCTGACATTTGGGGGATATCTGTACTGTCCTGACATTTGGGGGATATCTGTACTGTCCTGACATTTGGGGGATATCTGTACTCTCCTGACATTTGGGGGATATCTGTACTCTCCTGACATTTGGGGGATATCTGTACTGTTCTGACATTTGGGGGATATATGTACTGTCCTGACATTTGGGGGATATCTGTACCGTCCTGACATTTGGGGGATATCTGTCCTGTCCTGACATTTGGGGGATATCTGTACCGTCCTGACATTTGGGGGATATCTGTACCGTCCTGACATTTGGGGGATATCTGTACCGTCCTGACATTTGGGGGATATCTGTACCGTCCTGACATTTGGGGGATATCTGTACCGTCCTGACATTTGGGGGATATCTGTACCTATCCTGACATTTGGGGGATATCTGTCCTGTCCTGACATTTGGGGGATATATGTACTGTTGTAACGGAGGTATGGGTGGAGCGGAACACACTCAGAGAGAAGAAGTACACGCAAGACTTTTATTGAAAGCAGGGGAAGCAGAGTCCTGGTAGACAAAGAGCTAAGTCCGCAACATGGGGCTGGCACACAGAAGGGATAGCAGAGTTTTAGCGGGCAAAGTGTTAAATCCGTAACACAGGGCTGAACAGACTACAGGGATGGGAGGACTCCAGCAGACAAAGGGATTAAGACTGTAACACAGGCTGGGCACACAGCAGAGGTGGCAGAGTCCTGGCAGGCAAAGGGTTATTCCACACAAGGAACTGGGCACACCGCAGGAATGGACAGGGATCCAGCACAACAGGGGCGAAGTCCTTGGCACAGGATGGTACTCTAGTACAGCAGAGCCTAGTCCAGAGTCAAAGAGAAACAATCTGGGCCCAGTGAGTATCGAGCCAAAAACTGGTACAGCAAAGTCCATGAGCACTGGGCAGCAATTCTGGGTCTCGCCAGCCAACAGTGTCCTCAGCAGAGGAAGTCTAGGCAGAGTGGCATGGAGAAGGAGGTCCAGAGGGCAGAGGTCCTTCACCAACTCATCACGGGTCCTTGGAGGGCTGTATCCTGGCTGCAGCTTCAAGACCACACAGGCAGCAGTTGACTGAAAAGCAGAGGGTAGAGGAAAGTCCCGACCACACAAACAATGCAGAACTACAAGTCACAGCAGTACAGAGAGCACAGCACAGCCCATACAGAACTATCTGTCTCAGCAGTTCAAAGCATCTTCTAGCAGCCATGAGCTCCTCTGTCCATCGCTGACTTACACTCTGAATGGGAGAGCGGATATAGGGAATGCGGGGTCCGGGGAGAGCGGATATAGTGAATGCGGGGTCCGGGGAGAGCGGATATAGTGAATGCAGGGTTCGGGGAGAGCGGATATAGTGAATGCGGGGTCCGGGGAGAGCGGATATAGTGAATGCGGGGTCCGGGGAGAGCGGATATAGTGAATGCGGGGTTCGGGGAGAGCGGATCTAGTGAATGCGGGGTCCGGGGAGAGCGGATCTAGTGAATGCGGGGTCCGGGGAGAGCGGATCTAGTGACTGCGGGGTCCGGGGAGAGCGGATCTAGTGACTGCGGGGTCCGGGGAGAGCGGATCTAGTGATTGCGGGGTCCGGGAGAGCGGATCTAGGGAATGCGGGGTCCGGGGAGAGCGGATCTAGTGACTGCGGGGTCCGGGGAGAGCGGATCTAGTGACTGCGGGGTCCGGGGAGAACGGATCTAGTGACTGCGGGGTCCGGGGAAGCGGATCTAGGGAATGCGGGTCCAGGGAGAGCGAATATAGTGAATGCGGGGTTCGGGGAGAGCGGATCTAGGGAATGCGGGGTCCGGGGAGAGCGGATCTAGTGACTGCGGGGTCCGGGGAGAGCGGATCTAGGGAATGCGGGGTCCGGGGAGAGCGGATCTAGGGCACTGCGGGGTCCGGGGAGAGCGGATCTAGGGACTGCGGGGTCCGGGGAGAGCGGATCTAGGGACTGCGGGGTCCGGGGAGAGCGGATCTAGGGACATGCGGGGTCCGGGGAGAGCGGATCTAGGGCATGCGGGTCCGGGGAGAGCGGATCTAGGGCATGCGGGGTCCGGGGAGAGAGCGGATCTAGGGCATGCGGGGTCCGGGGAGAGCGGATCTAGGGCATGCGGGGTCCGGGGAGAGCGGATCTAGGGACTGCGGGGTCCGGGGAGAGCGGATCTAGGGACTGCGGGGTCCGGGGAGAGCGGATCTAGGGACGGGGGTCCGGGGAGAGCGGATCTAGGGACTGCGGGGTCCGGGGAGAGCGGATCTAGGGACTGCGGGGTCTGGGGTTTAGTATCACTTTAAAAAGAAAATTAGTGGTGACTTTACAAAGTTTGTTTTCGTACGATTTTTCACACCATACCTGTGTGTTCTGGTTCATGTATCCTGTTCTGCTATTTGTGAACAGCGGAGGACAACGTAGCAGCCAAAATCTTGTCCTACAACCGTGCCAACCGGGCTGTGGCTCTTCTCTGCAACCACCAGAGGGCTCTTCCAAAGACCTATGAAAAATCTATGCAAAATCTGCAGGCAAAGGTATTTCACCGATTTGTTACCCATTTTATTTATTTATTTTTTCTTCCTTTGTTATTGGCTATAGCCATCGGCGGTAATCGCATGCCAAAAATCTCACAGGTTGGTTGTACCCATGTACTTGCACATGGCTTGCCCATACATGGAGTGGGATAGGCTGGTCCCTGCTGAACTGGCCGAATTTCGTTCCATGTATGGCTTAAGCTTTCCTGTAGGCAGAGAACTAAAGTGTGAATAAAATATTTTGGAATGTGCATGTTGCCCCCTTTTTATACATTGAGCTGTACCCATCTGAACACGTTAGTGGGTATCACCTTCTGGAAGATATGTACAGAACATACATGTAAAACACATGCAAAGACACAGCATGCAGAAGTGAGAATCTCAACGCTTCATGATTCATGGGGTATATCCCTGGGCTGCAAAGTAAGTACCTGGAATGGGTTTGGTTAGATGGAGGGACCGGGTTGGGGCGTGCAGTCCATACACGGGGGTTGGGCGTGCAGTCCATACACGGGGGTGTGGCGTGCAGTCCATACACGGGGGGTGTGGCGTGCAGTCCATACACGGGGGTGTGGCGTGCAGTCCATACACGGGGGTGTGGCGTGCAGTCCATACACGGGGTGTGGCGTGCAGTCCATACACGGGGGGGGGATGTGGCGTGCAGTCCATACACGGGGGGGGTGTGGCGCGCTGTCCATACATACACGGGGGGGGTGTGGCGCGCTGTCCATACAGTCCGCTGTCCATACACGGGGGGGTGTGGCGCGCTGTGGGGGGGTGTGGCGCGCTGTCCATACACGGGGGGGTGTGGCGCGCTGTCCATACACGGGGGGGTGTGGCGCGCTGTCCATACACGGGGGGGTGTGGCGCGCTGTCCATACACGGGGGGGTGTGGCGCGCTGTCCATACACGGGGGGTGTGGGCGCGCTGTCCATACACGGGGGGGGGTGTGGCGCGCTGTTCATACACGGGGGGGGGTGTGGCGCGCTGTCCATACACGGGGGGGTGTGGCGCGCTGTCCATGCACGGGGGGGGTGTGGCGCGCTGTCCATGCACGGGGGGGGTGTGGCGCGCTGTCCATGCACGGGGGGGTGTGGCGCGCTGTCCATGCACGGGGGGGTGTGGCGCGCTGTCCATGCACGGGGGGGTGTTGGCGCGCTGTCCATGCCCGGGGGGGTGTGGCGCGCTGTCCATGCCCGGGGGGGTGTGGGGCGCGCAGTCCATGCCCGGGGGGGTGTGGGGCGCGCAGTCCCATGCCCGGGGGGGGTGTGGGGCGCGCAGTCCATGCCCGGGGGGGTGTGGGGCGCGCAGTCCATACCCGGGGGGGCGCGCAGTCCATACCCGGGGGGGGGCGCGCAGTCCATACCCGGGGGGGGCTCGCAGTCCATACCCAGGGGGGGGGGGCGCGCAGTCCATACCCGGGGGGGCGCGCAGTCCATACACAGGGAGTTGGATATTACTCCCAGCAAGGCTGCATCCTGTTTACAGGCAATAGCATCATCCTCCAAACTCCCCTCCCTGCCTTCTACTGCACATGTGAGTTTTCCTATGTAGTGCCTCTACATGATTTAGTCTTTAAAATCATTCTAAACCTACATTTTTGTTTTTTACTTTAGAAATTTTTTTATTTTTTTTTTCAAACTTAGCTGCTCTGTGTAATGGTTTTTGCACAGAACAACCCCCGTTCTTCCTATTCTTGGGTTGCCCTGCCTGGCTCTCCTGGCTCCTCCCCTCCACCAAGTGCCCCCCGTTGCAAGCTGCTTGCTGTGAGGGCCCTGGTGCATGCTCGCTCCTGAGCTGTGTCCATTGACATACAGATCGTGGCTCAGCCTCGCTCTCTCCTGACTAGCTGTGATTGAGAGCGGCAGCTGTTGCCTCCCTGTCCAGTGAGAAGGGAGAGAGCCGAGAGAGCTGCTGCTCTCGTGCACATAGCTGGCTCCAGATCGGGCTCTGGTGAGTATATAGCGAGGGGGGACTGGGGAGCTACTTGCAGAAAGCAGCTTTTTTTTTTTCCATTTCTTTCCCTTTCCCCTCTTTCTTTCCCCCCCCCCCCTTTTTCCCCCTTTTCCCCCCCCCCCCCCCCCCCCCCATTCCCCCTTTTCTTTTCCCCCTTTTCTTTTCCCCCCTTTTTTTTCCCTTCCCCCTTTTCCCCCCCCCCCCTTTTCTTTTCCCCTTTTTTTTCCCCTTCCCCCCCTCCCCCCTTTTCTTTTTTTTTTTTTTTTTTTTTTTTTTTCCCTAAGCATAGAATGCTTTTTTTTTTTCCATGGGGCCACTAATTTGCGTACCTATCTTTCTGCTATAATATTTTTTTTATTTTTTTTTTAGATTGATGCAAAGGAGGAGCAGCTGAAGGAAGCAAAGAAAGAGCTGAAGAAAGCTAAAGCTGAGCATAAAAAATATAACACTGAAAAGACCAAGAAGTACGAACTGTTTGTGGTTTCTGTAATTAAGATTCATAACATAACAATACACACAGCATCTGCATGTGACGCCGGGGGGCCGGGCCCCCTTCACCCTGTAGATATGGGCAGGGTCAGCACACAGGAAATACGACACCATATCTTAGGATTGAAGGGGCGGTAATAGCAGGAGATGAGAGAACACATGTTCCCAGGGAATTCTGGGGGGCGTGTTGTCTGTCTTTTTCAAGGTGGTCCTCTGTTGAAGTCAGGGCACATCACCATGAAATGGCAATACTCCGCCTGGACTGAAGAGTCAAAGAATATAATTGTATTGGAGGAGAATATTAGGTGACTTGATCTCACATGGAGCAGAAAATGGACCCCCATCCTCCCTCACTATAATAGAACTAAAGAACGGTAGAGCCCCTTTCTGGCACCTCTAGCTTTCCCTTCAGTCTTGCACAGGTGTACCGGCTCCTCCCCTTCAGTCTTGCACAGGTGTACCGGCTCCTCCCCTTCAGTCTTGCACAGGTGTATCCTCCCCTCTCTTGCACAGGTGTATCGCTTCTCGGCCTTTTGGCTAAGATCAAGTGTAGTATCTGTTCTTATCAGTGTCCAGTGGGGGTGCTCCCGACCATTCTAGCTTTGCGGGGATGGTTGTTGTATAGTACCCTCACTGGTATGATGGGGGTCCGGAAGGCTGGACCGGAGGGACAGAAACCAGGGGGCGCCACGATACGCTCTGGGACCTTGGGAGTAATTCCTCTGGGAAAGCTGGAAAGACCCAGTACCTCCTGATTTGGACGGATCTACCTTGGTCTGGCCTGGGGCTGGGGACGCAAAAAGTCCGCAAACTCAGTGCCCCCTGGGGAAGACGCTCTCAGGGGTGTCACTAGTAACACTTGGGTGTGGGACCCCACGGTGTGAAGATGACACATGGCCACTGTTTTTTCACCTCTTTTTGCACAGCGCCCTAAGGACCAGGTCTTTTGGCTAAGTCCAGGGCAATTTTTGCTACGGCCTCAGGGCCTGGTCTGTGCACAATTCGGCACGGTACCACTTTTTTATTTTTTTCTTTACTTTATCTTTACCTTATTTATTATGCACTCCCACGTTTTGTCACTTTTTACTTTACTTATGTGTGTGTTTTTCACGGATGGAGGGTGTGGGTCCTCGGGCCTTACCTGAAGTCTAGGGGGAGGATGTGTGGCCCTACGGTTCCTTCCTCCCCTGATCCCTAGGGGGTTTTCTCTTCGGGAGAACCCCCTTGCCTAGTACTGGATGTCCGGCTTCGGCTGGGCATAAGGAACGGTGGTCCACCAGGCCTTTTGGCCAGGAGGACCAAATGGGAACCTCGTCCCTGTCAGGAGCTTCGTGCCCCGGGGGATCGGGTATGTGAACGGTCCAACCCTTCCTGGGGTAGGACAAACACACCCCTAAGTGCACTTTTTCGTGTGGTGTTCGCACTTGCACATTTTTTGTGATCACTTACGGGTTTTTCGTTGTAGTTTGCACGTTTGCGGACTTAAAAAAAAAAAAAAAAAAAAAAAAAAAAAAAACAGGTGTACCGGCTCCTCCCCTTCAGTCTTGCACAGGTGTACCAGCTCCTCCCCTTCAGTCTTGCACAGGTGTACCGGCTCCTCCCCTTCAGTCTTGCACTGGTGTACCGGCTCCTCCCCTTCAGTCTTGCACTGGTGTACCGGCTCCTCCCCTTCAGTCTTGCTCAGTTGTACCGGCTCCTCCCCTTCAGTCTTGCTCAGTTGTACCGGCTCCTCCCCTTCAGTCTTGCTCAGTTGTACCGGCTCCTCCCCTTCAGTCTTGCTCAGTTGTACCGGCTCCTCCCCCCTTCAGTCTTGCTCAGTTGTACCGGCTCCTCCCCTTCAGTCTTGCTCAGTTGTACCGGCTCCTCCCCTTCAGTCTTGCTCAGTTGTACCGGCTCCTCCCCTTCAGTCTTGCTCAGTTGTACCGGCTCCTCCCCTTCAGTCTTGCTCAGTTGTACCGTCTTGCCCGGCTCCCCCCTTCAGTCTTGCTCAGTTGTACCGGCTCCTCCCCTTCAGTCTTGCTCAGTTGTACCGGCTCCTCCCCTTCAGTCTTGCTCAGTTGTACCGGCTCCTCCCCTTCAGTCTTGCACAGTTGTACCTGCCCCTCCCCTTCAGTCTTGCTCAGTTGTACCTGCCCCTCCCCTTCAGTCTTGCTCAGTTGTACCGGCTCCTCCCCTTCAGTCTTGCTCAGGTGTACCGGCTCCTCCCCTTCAGTCTTGCTCAGTTGTACCGGCTCCTCCCCTTCAGTCTTGCTCAGTTGTACCGGCTCCTCCCCTTCAGTCTTGCTCAGTTGTACCGGCTCCTCCCCTTCCCTTCAGTTTGCTCAGTTGTACAGTCAGTTGTACCGGCTCCTCCCCTTCAGTCTTGCTCAGTTGTACCGGCTCCTCCCCTTCAGTCTTGCTCAGTTGTACCGGCTCCTCCCCTTCAGTCTTGCTCAGGTTGTACCGGCTCCTCCCCTTCAGTCTTGCACAGGTGTACCGGCTCCTCCCCTTCAGTCTTGCTCAGGTGTACCGGCTCCTCCCCTTCAGTCTTGCTCAGGTGTACCGGCTCCTCCCCTTCAGTCTTGCTCAGGTGTACCGGCTCCTCCCCTTCAGTCTTGCTCAGGTGTACCGGCTCCTCCCCTTCAGTCTTGCTCAGGTGTACCGGCTCCTCCCCTTCAGTCTTGCTCAGGTGTACCGGCTCCTCCCCTTCAGTCTTGCTCAGGTGTACCGGCTCCTCCCCTTCAGTCTTGCTCAGTTGTACCGACTCCTCCCCTTCAGTCTTGCTCAGTTGTACCGGCTCCTCCCCTTCAGTCTTGCTCAGTTGTACCGGCTCCTCCCCTTCAGTCTTGCTCAGGTTGTACCGGCTCCTCCCCTTCAGTCTTGCTCAGGTGTACCGGCTCCTCCCCTTCAGTCTTGCTCAGTTGTACCGGCTCCTCTCCTGGACTGAAAAGGCTTCCTCTGATTTCACTGCACACTGGGAGCTTCTCATAATGTGCATTAGAAGCTGCAGTAAGTCAGATAGAGCTCCGCCTCCTTTCCTGGCTGGAGGCTGTCCAGCATCATTGGCCCATCAGTGATCACATGAATAGTAGTAAGCAAGATTTCACTTCTGACATCATTGCTTACTACGTGTGAAATCTGTGAATGATCACAGAGGTCACATGGTACAGGGCTATTCACAACGGCCTTGTACCATGTGACAAGCTGTGACCAATCACAGCTCTCACAGTATTTCTCAATGACTGCAGGAATGCAGCCAGAGAGGAGAAATGATTGTTTTTACAGCCTTTATGGGTATAAAAAGCAATCAGTGTAAAAACAAATCCTCACCTCCCACAAGTAGTACAGTGTCACTATGGTGACAATGTACCGCTAGGGTGACAGTATGTTAAAAAAAAATCTAAAAAAATTAAATGTAGAAAAATTATAATTTTTGGTTACAAACTAATTTTGGGTTATTTTTTTCTTTTTACTAAAAAGATAACTGAATACATTTTGGCAAGATTTATGAAGAAAGATTGTTTGCAAAATTTTATAAGAAAAACACTTTTTTTTCAAACTTTTTGGACTTTTTCATTTATATAGCAAATAAAATAAAAATCCCAGCGGTGAATAAATACCACCAAAATAAAGTGCTAAACAAATATTAAAAAATTCATATGGGTACAGTGTTGCATGACCGCGCAATTGTCATTCAAAGTGTGACAGTGCTGAAAATTGGCCTGGACTGGAAGGGGGGGAAAGTGTCCGGACTGGAAGGGGGGGGGAAAGTGTCCGGACTGGAAGGGGGGGGGAAAGTGTCCGGACTGGAAGGGGGGGAAAGTGTCCGGACTGGAAGGGGGGGGGAAAGTGTCCGGACTGGAAGGGGGGGGAAAGTGTCCGGACTGGAAGGGGGGGGAAAGTATCCGGACTGGAAGGGGGTGAAAGTGTCCGGACTGGAAGGGGGGGGGAAAGTGTCCGGACTGGAAGGGGGGGGGGGAAGTGTCCGGACTGGAAGGGGGGGATAATGTCCGGACTGGAAGGGGGGGATAATGTCCGGACTGGAAGGGGGGGGGGAAGTGTCCGGACTGGAAGGGGGGGGGGAAGTGTCCGGACTGGAAGTGGGGGGGAAAGTGTCCGGACTGGAAGGGGGGGGAAAGTGTCCGGACTGGAAGGGGGGGGAAAGTGTCCGGACTGGAAGGGGGGGGAAAGTGTCCGGACTGGAAGGGGGGGGAAAGTGTCCGGACTGGAAGGGGGGGGGGGAAAGTGTCCGGACTGGAAGGGGGGGGGGGGAAAGTGTCCGGACTGGAAGGGGGGGGGGGAAAGTGTCCGGACTGGAAGGGGGGGGGGGGGAAAGTGTCCGGACTGGAAGGGGGGGGGGGGGAAAGTGTCCGGACTGGAAGGGGGGGGGGGGGGGGAAAAGTGTCCGGACTGGAAGGGGGGGGGGGGAAAGTGTCCGGACTGGAAGGGGGGGGGGGAAAGTGTCCGGACTGGAAGGGGGGGGGGGAAAGTGTCCGGACTGGAAGGGGGGGGGGGGGAAAGTGTCCGGACTGGAAGGGGGGGGGGGAAAGTGTCCGGACTGGAAGGGGGAGGGGAAAGTGGGACTGGAAGGGGAGGGGAAAGTGTCCGGACTGGAAGGGGGGGGAAAGTGTCCGGACTGGAAGGGGGGGAAAGTGTCCGGACTGGAAGGGGGGGGAAAGTGTCCGGACTGGAAGGGGGGGTGTCCGGACTGGAAGGGGGGTGAAAGTGTCCGGACTGGAAGGGGGGGGGGGAAAGTGTCCGGACTGGAAGGGGGGGTCCGGGGGGAAGGGGGTGAGTGTCCGGACTGGAAGGGGGGGGGGAAAGTGTCCGGACTGGAAGGGGGGGGGGAAATGTCCGGACTGGAAGGGGGGGGGAAAGTGTCCGGACTGGAAGGGGGGGAGTGTCCGGACTGGAAGGGGGGGGGGAAAGTGTCCGGACTGGAAGGGGGGGGGGGGGGGAAGTGTCCGGACTGGAAGGGGAGGGGAAAGTGTCCGGACTGGAAGGGGAGGGGAAAGTGTCCGGACTGGAAGGGGAGGGGAAAGTGTCCGGACTGGAAGGGGAGGGGAAAGTGTCCGGACTGGAAGGGGGGGGGGGGGGAAGTGTCCGAACTGGAAGGGGGGGGGGGGGGGAAGTGGAAGGGTCCGGAGTTGAAGGGGTTAAAAAAAAAACCTGTAATATCACATTGATCTCTCTGACAGAGCCCCAGATAGCACCAAAACACAACACAGCATTAATCCTCCCCTCTTCAAACACTACACTTTAATTCTGAATGTAGCTGGACAAATGTATATTTTTGTCTCCGGCCTGCATGTAGCATCAATTTGTAAAACATCTTGTTTGGTCTGGGGGGGGGGGGGGGGGGGCAGCATTCTGCCTAATGTCCATCAGTGAGATTCCTGTGTGTGTGCAGGGAGCTGGAGAAGAAGAAGAAGCAGAAGGAAAGGCTGGAGGAGCAACTGGAGAAACTGAAGCTTATGGCCACCGACAAGGAGGAGAACAAGCAGATCGCTCTGGGCACGTCCAAACTGAACTACCTGGATCCCAGAATCTCTGTGGCCTGGTAAGTTGTGTGCCAATGTCCAATTGAATGTCTTATTGTAACCGCTGAGTGGGAAAACTTTTAGTTATTGGATAGCACATGTTCTACTTGCTGCACAGAAGATCTTCCACCTCTTTCTATAAAAACGTTGGCAACTCTCTGCTCTTGGCCACGGGTCTCTTGGCCAGTCCTTTGATGTCACAGGTACTCCTCCTGGCGGCAGCGGAGGTGGCCCCTCCTGGCGGCAGCGGAGGTGGCCCTCCTCCTGGCGGCAGCGGAGGTGGCCCTCCTCCTGGCGGCAGCGGAGGTGGGCCCTCCTCCTGGCGGCAGCGGAGGTGGCCCTCCTCCTGGCGGCAGCGGAGGTGGCCCTCCTCCTGGCGGCAGCGGAGGTGGCCCTCCTCCTGGCGGCAGCGGAGGTGGCCCTCCTCCTGGCCCTCCTCCTGGCAGCGGAGGTGGCCCTCCTCCTGGCGGCAGCGGAGGTGGCCCTCCTCCTGGCGGCAGCGGAGGTGGCCCTCCTCCCTGGCGGCAGCGGAGGTGGCCCTCCTCCGGCAGCGGAGGTGGCCCTGGCGGCAGCGGAGGTGGCCCTCCTTACCTTTGCACTGAGCGACACTCCCTAAATGACAGGTAAGTACCATTCAGACCATATGGTTTGAACAGATCTTGAACTTTCAGAAATCAGTACTTAAAAACATACTCATCGTTTGGAGTATTTGGGTCTAGTCCTAGATGCAGCTCAGGCTACAGTGTTTCTTCCTCAGAGAAACTTCAAACTCTTCATTCTTAGACCTGCGCAGTCCTATTCAAGAGATCCCCAGCTTCTCTACTTTTCCATAAGAGTCCTGGCCCACATGGAAGAAAAAATATATTTGAAATATGTTTAAAAAATATTCTACCCAAATATATTGACATACTACAATTTTGGGCCTATTATTTATATATATATATATGGCAGTGTTCACAGCACACGTAAGGCATTGCCACGAATGTTCTGGGTTGACAGTATATCTGGAAACACTGCAGAATTAATCCGGCTGCTTCTGTCACATCATCAATAAACACCAATGACCTGGTGCCACTGGGTGAAACAGGACATGGGTGGAGGCAGTGTGATGACAAGGGCGGAGGCAGTGTGATGGCATGGGCGGAGGCAGTGTGATGGCATGGGCGGAGGCAGTGTGATGGCATGGGCGGAGGCAGTGTGATGACAAGGGTGGAGGCGGTGTGATGGCATGGGCGGAGGCAGTGTGATGGCATGGGTGGAGGCAGTGTGATGACAAGGGTGGAGGCGGTGTGATGGCATGGGCATGCATGGCTTCCAGTGGCACTGGGTCATTGGTGTTTACTGATGTGACAGAAGCAGCCGGATGAATTTTGCCGTGTTTACAGATCTAATGTCAGCCCAGGTTCAGCCAAATGCAGCAAAGGTGATTGGACGGAGCTTCACAGTACACATGGACAACGATCCAAAACGCACTGCAAAAGCAACCCAGGAGCTTTAGAAGGTGGAAGTGGAATATTCTGCAATGGGCGAGTCAGTCACCTGATCTCAACCCAAATGAGCATGCATTTCACTTGCTGAAGGCAAAACTAAAGGCAGAAAGACCCACAAACAAAGAACAAATGAAGACAGCTGCAGTTAGAGTCTGGCAAAGCATGGAAGAGGGGAACCCAGTCTTTGGTCATGTCCATGGGTTCCAGACTTCAGGCAAAGCATCAAGAAGTAGGAAACCCAGTCTTTGGTCATGTCCATGGGTTCCAGACTTCAGGCAAAGCATCAGAAGAGGAGGAAACCCAGTCTTTGGTCATGTCCATGGGTTCCAGACTTCGGGCAAAGCATCAGAAAGGAGGAATCCCAGTCTCTGGTCAGGTCCATGGGTTCCAGACTTCGGCAAAGCATCAGAAAGGAGGAAACCCAGTCTTTGGTCAGGTCCATGGGTTCCAGACATCAGGCAAAGCATCAAAAGGAGGAAACCCGGTGGGTTCCAGACTTCAGGCAAACCTCAGAAAGTAGGAAACCCTGGTGACAAAGAGCGGTCATTGTGTGCACGTGACACCGATATCAAAAATTTTCCACAAATGTGGCTTGTATGGGAGGGAAGAAAAAGCCGCTCCTCAAGAAAGGCCACCACTGAGCTTTGCCAAAATGCACTTTGAAGATTCTGAGGCCACATGGAAGAAAGGGGTTTCTGGTCAGATGAGACTGAAATGGAATGATTTGGCCTCAACACTAAACGATATGTCTGGCAGAAATCTAACCCAGCCCACCATCCAAATCCCACCATTCCTACAGTACAGCATGGAGGGGAGAAATATCCTGTTATGGGGGGGTGGTAATATCCTGTTATGGAGGGAGTGGTAATATCCTGTAATGGGGGGGGGGGGGGTTCTCTGCAGCAGAGACTGGAGTACTTGTCAGGATAGAAGGAAAGGTGGACAGGGCAGAATCCCATCACATTCTGGAGGGCAATCTGATGCCCTCAGCCAGAAAGTTGTCACTGAGAAGGTTTACCTTCCAACATGACAATGAGCCAAAGCACACAGCACCCCCCAGTGGTTGGAGGAGAAGAGGAATGTCCTTGCATGGCCTAGTCAGAGCCCAGACTTAAATCCCATTGAAAATCTGTAGAATGACTTGAAGACTGCCGTCCACAAACCGTCACCATCCAATGTCACTGAACCTGAGCCGTTCTGCAGAGAAGAGCGGGCAAATATTGCAAAGTCTAGACGTGCAAAGTTAGTAGAGACATCCCAACTGACTAGAGCCTGGAATTAAAGCAAAATGGGGTTCAACAAGATACTGACACGAGGAGGAGGGTCTTTTTTCCAACTCGGTGATCGTGTTTTTAATTTATTTTTATTACTTTTCCCTGACATGTTGACGTTCTATCTCTCACTTAGATGATATAAGTTGATCTGAGTAACTACAGCTGGATAAAACAAAAACTGTGTCTGTCTTCATTTCAGGCTGCAAAACATTTTTAAAGGCCCCCTTTTAAAAATGTTGTTTTGCATCCTAAAATGAATGGGGGGGGGGGGGGGTGATTCTTTTCTATACCCACTGTAGATGAATACCTCAAATAGCAGGTATTTCTCCACAGAGAATCGCTGGAGCTCTTTCAGAGTGACCATGGGGTGCTTGGTGACCTTCCTGGCTAATGTTTTGTTTTGTTTGTTTTTTCTGTAAAATAACACGTCTATACTTACCTGCTGTGTGCAGCGGTTTTTTTCACAAAGCAACCCCCTTTGGGGGTTGAACGACCCTTTCACAGGGGTCGCCTAAGACCATCGGAAAACACATTTCCGATGGTCTTAGGAACCGAGACAACGCTCCTCTGTCTTCAGGCGGGTCCGCCCACATGCAGATACTCTATGAAGTAGTGGTGAGGGCGGCCGGAGGGGCTCGGCAGGGTGTCCCGCACTCCCGGCTTGCTGTGAGCCTCTCACGCTGAACTAACACCAGCACACTAACTGGCCCGCTCCCTCTTCCCTGTGCGTTATGAGCGGCCGGCCAGGCTGGAGGCTCCTCCGTTGCAAGGGGCGGGCCGGAGGTGCCCCGCTGCCTCCCACTGGCTGCCCTTGCACCTGCTGCATGTTTCCCCGGGCGGGGGCAGCTGCTCACAACAGCTGGATAGATGTGAGCCGGGCCCCCCTTTGTCTCCGGGGAAGGGGGATCTGGTTACCCGCAGAGCGTGCGCCCTACAGCCGCTCACCTTCCCACGGAGGCTTCTCCTCACAGCACGAGGGCTGGCACCGGGGCACCCGGCCCGCTAGAGGGAAGTACACAGCGACCAGCAATCCCAAACTTTCCGGGATCATAAAAGGAGCCTCAGGACAGACGAACTTGGTGTGGGAGAGGGCTGATATCCCTGGGGGGGAGGGGGGGAATACTGGCCATACACACTTCAATTTTACTATCAGATAGAATTGGCAATCAGATTAACTTCCATTCCCATGAAATTCTTTCAGTCGATTGACCAGGGCGCAAAATGATCGACCGTTTTGCAATAATTTTATGGTTGGGGGTCACCGCAACATGAGGAACTGTATTAAAGGGTTTCGACATTAGGAAGGTTGAGAACCACTGCTGTAGATGAATACCTCAAATAGCAGGTGCAGGAGAAAGTTCTTTTTGAAAATTCTGTGAATAGATGTATTTGTTCACTCCAAGAGCTTTCCTGGAGCATTTAAGTCCCTGGTAGTGCAACTGTGGGTGGCCAGACAATGTCACCAGGATGTCTGGGATAAAGTTGTGGACAGAATTGTCTTTGGTTACCTCTGTTTTTTTTTTTTTTTATCTGTTCTATCTAGGTGTAAGAAATTTGGCGTACCCATTGAGAAGATCTACAACAAGACTCAGAGAGACAAGTTTGCTTGGGCTATAGCCATGACCAATGAAGACTTTGAGTTCTAGGAGCCACGCTGTGCCAGAACCGGCTATCTACCTCACTGTGTGACCCTTGTCTTGGTCTGCTCAGAGCTCCCTCCTGTCAGGTGATGTTGCCTACAAACGGCCGTTCAGTTGTTGGATGCAATACGGTAAGCAAACATTCCTCGAATACCTCGCGTAACATGGATGGGTTCCATACCAGGAGGTGGATTCATTTCCTTCTCTAGAGCACTTACTGCATTTTTCCACCATGACCCCTTTTGGGTTGCATACAACATGGCTGCTGTTTGGTCATGTGACCAGTTCCTGTATGTTGGATGCGATCTTGAAGCGAGCGCATTGTCTGCTCCAAACTTCCACACTGTTACTGGAAACCAAGGATCAGGATGCACTGACGGAAACGTGCTAGTGGGCGCAAATAATTGCCAGTATCTGTTAGAGGGTACAAAACTTTTTTTTTTTTTTTTTTTTTTCCATTTATTGTAAATCACTTTATGTAAAAAAAGAAAAAGCTTGGCCTGTTTATTTAAAGAAATGTATTTAAGTATTTTGTGTTTTTTTGTTGAAGGCTGGAGGCAGGCGCTTTATGTATGTTTGTTTGTTTGTTTGTTTCATACAGCAAATAATAAATTGGAATAAAAATTTGTTTGTATCTTCTGCCTGTAAAAATGTTGCCCTTTTTTTTTTTTTTTCTTTTCTTTATTGTTCACCTGAAATATATAATTGTGAAAACAAGGACTTTTCTCATAACTTCATTTCTTTTGTGTCTGTTGGGGGACACTAGAATTCAAATAGTGGGGTTATTCAGCTGCCTACAGGAGGATTGGGCATGTGTAAACTGATTTTTTTTTTTTTTTTTTAACCACCTCCCACCCGTCATATAGTAATATGACGGGCGCAAGGTGGTTCTCTCGTTCTGAGAAGATGTCATGTGACGTCCTCCCATTCTCACCGCGCATGCAAGGCTCAGGGAGCGCTCAGTGATCGGCGGTGCGCTGTGACCCTCGGACACAGCAGATCGCCGATCACGGAAAGAGCCGAAGATGTTGGCTCGGTCATGTGATCAACTGTGTCCAATCACAGCTGATCACATGTAAATAGGGAAATGCCGGTTATCGGCATTTCTCTCCTCGAGCTGTCACACAGACAGAGGAGAGGAGAGCCGGTAATCTGCTTTCCGTGGAGGGTACATGTTCACTGATCATACTAAGGGGCCCAAAGTGTGCTAAGAAAATATCCCCCCGCACTGACACCACCACCAGCCTGAACCGTTGATACAAGGTAGGATGGATCCACCACACCATGACACCATCACCACCAGCCTGAACCGTTGAGACAAGGCAGGATGGATCCACCACACCGTGACACTACCACCACCAGCCTGAACCATTGAGACAAGGCAGGATGGATCCACCACACCATGACACTACCACCACCAGCCTGAACCATTGATACAAGGCAGGATGGATCCCCCACAACATGACACCACCACCACCAGCCTGAACCATTGATACAAGGCAGGATGGATCCACCACACCATGACACCACCACCACTAGCCTGAACCATTGATACAAGGCGGGATGGATCCACCACACCATGACACACCACCACCAGCCTGATCCATTGATACAAAGCAGGATGGATCCACCACACCATGACACACCACCACCAGCCTGATCCATTGATACAAAGCAGGATGGATCCACCACACCATGACACTACCACCACCAGCCTGAACTGTTAATACAAAGCAGGATGATCCCCACACCATGACACCACCACCACCAGCCTGAACCGTTGATACAAGGCAGGATGGATCCACCACACCGTGACCCACCACCACCAGCCTGAACCATTGATACAAGGCAGGATGGATCCACCACACCGTGACAACCACCACCACCAGCCTGAACCATTGATACAAGGCAGGATGGATCCACCACACCATGACACCACCACCACCAGCCTGAACCGTTGAGACAAGGCAGGATGGATCCACCACACCGTGACCCTACCACCACCAGCCTGAACCGTTGATACAAGGCAGGATGGATCCCCCACACCATGACACCCACCCACCACCACCAGCCTGAACCGTTGATACAAGGCAGGATGGATCCACCACACCGTGACCCCACCACCACCAGCCTGAACCATTGATACAAGGCAGGATGGATCCACCACACCATGTGACACCACCACCACCAGCCTGAACCATGGATACAAGGCAGGATGGATCTATGCTTTCATGTTCATGCCAAATTCTGACCCTATCATTTGCATGTCGCACCTTCAAGAAACCAGTGTGAGATGATTTGAGCTTTGTGACATGGTGTTGATGAGGAATCCCTCCCACTGAACTATTGTATTTGACGGGCAGATTTCCCCACCATCAGAATACGATGATTCCTGCTGTTGGTAGTAATCCTAAAAAAAATAAAAAATCCTGATAGGCTGGTTATACTGAAGTAGATCACTAGATCTACTATCAATAGCCCATAGATAGATCAAAATTTGCCTGGTTCCTGCTGAACTGTCCGAATTTCGATCTGTCTGAGGCTGGCAGTAGGTCCAAGGATAACTCGGGCTTTGTTACAAATAGAGACGCGGTCAGGGATTCGAATCTTTGGCAACCAAGGCTCCACACTGTATATAAAATACAGAATAGGAAAGTGGAGAGGTGGAGTTCTCCTTTATGTCAAAAATGGTGTAAAGCGAACTTTAATTCAAAAAGCCGTTGAACTGCTTGAACCCCTCTTGGTCCGTGTAGAAATCGGAGAGAGGGATTGTTCCTTAAAATTGGTGTAGTATACAGACCCCCCCCCCCCCCCCCCCCTTCCCGAGACAGACTGAGGCTTAGGATAACCTGCTGCTTGACAAGATAACTGTAATGACGCCAAAGGGCGAGGTTTTAAGCACGGTGACAACATTCCTGACTGCAACTGGGAATTTCAATCTTTGATCACAAGAAGAGAGCAGAGATGTGTTGGAGACATGGAGAAAGGGTTTCTCTAGAGCCAGCCATAGATGTTCAGTAAAATTCTGGTGAAGATTGCCAGCTTGATGTATCCTTGTAATCAGCACCTTCAAAAGGGCCTAACAACTGCACAATCCAGCTGGACTAGCTTTGCGTCAGCAGCGTCCTGTCAGCATTGGGCGAGACTGTTCGACGTCGTGTTCCTAAACCCACAACAGTACAATCAGCCTGTAGATGCAGCAAAGCATGCTGGTTATAATCACTGTGGAACCTAAGGGGTTAATCCTCTGTTTGTGTAAAAAGGATGTTTGATCCTGTCTTCTCTGATCCTCCTCTTGTTCAAATGACCACCTAATACAGACTGAATCTGTAGTCACGTGCACATGCTCAGTTTGGTGTGTATTGCTAGAGAGGTTTTTTTTTTCCTTTGGGAGAGTGCATGTGATCAGCACAGGGCCAATCAACACTGTCCAGACAGAGGTCAGGGGTTCTGCATCCTCTTAGAGCAGAAAGAAAACGCCTACAAGCTTTAACCAGTGCTCAGATGAAGTCACAAGACTGCTATATATTGCTGATGAGAAAAGTTGTTTAGCAGTTTATATTTACTAAAATATTTGCATTTCCATGTTGTGTGTACTGTGGGAGACCAGATATAGTGACTGCGGGGTCCGGGGAGCGTGGATATAGTACTGCGGGTCCGAGGGAGCGTGGATATAGTGGGGGGTCCAGGGAGACCGGATCTAGTGACTGTGGGGTCCGGGGAGAGGGGATCTAGTGAATACGGGGTCCGGGGAGAGGGGACATAGGAATGCGGGGTCCGGGGGGGGAGAGCGGACATAGGGAATGCGGGGTCCGGGGGAGAGCGGACATAGGGAATGCGGGGTCCTGGGCGAACAAATCTAGTGAATGCGGGGTCCGGGGGAGAGCGGACATAGGGAATGCGGGGTCCGGGGGAGAGAGCGGACATAGGGAATGCGGGGTCCGGGGGAGAGCGGACATAGGGAATGCGGGGTCCGGGGAGAGCGGACATAGGGAATGCGGGGTCCGGGGAGAGGGGACATAGGAATGCGGGGTCCGGGGGAGAGAGCGGACATAGGAATGCGGGGTCCGGGGAGAGCGGACATAGTGAATGCGGGGTCCGGGGAGAGGGGACATAGTGAATGCGGGGGTCCGGGGAGAGGGGGATCTAGTGAATGCGGGGTCCGGGGGGGAGAGGGGATCTAGTGAATGCGGGGTCCGGGGAGAGGGATCTAGTGACTGCGGGGTTCCGGGGAGAGGGGATCTAGTGAATGCGGGGTCCGGGGAGAGGGGATCTAGTGAATGAGCGGGGTTCCGGGGAGAGGGGGATCTAGTGAATGCGGGGTCCGGGGAGAGCGGACACAGTGAATGCGGGGTCCGGGGAGAGCGGATACAGTGAATTGCGGGGTCCTGGGCGAACAAATCTAGTGAATGCGGGGTCCGGGGAGAGCGGATCTAGTGACTGCGGGGTCCTGGGAGAGCGGATATAGTGAATGCGGGGTTCCGGGGAGAGGGGATCTAGTGAATGCGGGGTCCGGGGAGAGCGGACACAGTGAATGCGGGGTCCGGGGAGAGCGGATACAGTGAATTGTGGGGTCCTGGGCGAACAAATCTAGTGAATGCGGGGTCCGGGGAGAGCGGATCTAGTGACTGCGGGGTCCGGGGAGAGCGGATCTAGTGAATGTGGGGTCCGGGGAGAGCAAATCTAGTGAATGCGGGGTCCGGGGAGAGCGGACATAGTGAATGCGGGGTCCGGGGAGAGCGGAATAAAGTGAATGCGGGGTCTGGGGAGAGCGGATATAGTGAATGCGGGGTCCGGGGGAGAACCAAGATAGTGAATGCGGGGTCCTGGGGACCCGGGTATAGTGAATCGGGGTCCGGGAGAACATGAAATCTAGTGAATGCGGGGTCCTATAGAGCGGAAATATTCAGTGACCCCCCCTTCCGGGGAGAGCGGATATAGTGAATGCGGGGTCCGGGGAGAGCGAACATAGTGAATGCGGGGTCTGGGGAGAGCGATATCTCTAG